AGTCCTGCTGCAAGAAGATAAACTGCTGGCACAACATCATGTTTACCACCACCAACTGTTTACCACCACGAAGGGTTCTGTTAATGGAGGCAAATACCTACCCTGACACTATGGATTTAAAGAGAAAAACAAGTGGGATGCAGATCCTAATTAAGCAAAGGAGCTTGCCCAAACAGTAGCCAAATGAGATTTCAATTTCAATCCTTGAAGTAGCACCATCCTCAGTAAAGTTGCAAAAAGAATCAAAAGCCAAAACCAGAAGTTAACAACCCATTCCAGGAAGGTTTCCAGAACAGGATCATTCACAGAGCCCACTGGGTTGGTACTAATAAACATTAGAAGAACAAGAAGGCACCTTTAACTTAATTTCTTCCTGGCTTCTTCCTTCAGACCACCTTCATGCAAACATACCATAAACATTCACTTGCTTTAATAACCACCCAAGCACCACCCACGCTACAAGTACCTCCCGTCCTGGAAGGGCTTGCAAGAGCACACCTTCAAAGACAGTTCAAAGTGCATTGGTTTGGCTCCAAAACCTAGCCATATCCATTCTGTACAGTTCAACTTGAGTTCTCGCTGAGCTCTGAAGCTGAAGGACCTCCATACGGGGAAGGGAGTTAACTTGTGCAGAATGGGCAAGGTAAGGGCCTGAACTCCACATTAGTAATTTTTTAAGGTTACAGGTTTTCTCCCCGTTCATACAAACCAACATCTATTGATGAAACTATATAACCAGAACTGACCTTACTATATCTTACAGGATTGAAGAAGTCTTGCAGCATAGATAGGGCCTGGCTCTAAAAGAGAAAAAATAACCCAGCTTTATGTGCAGTCATTGAAATCTCGGGCCTTTAACACCATGTTTAAAAAAAAAAAAAGAGAGGGGGGGGGGGGGGGGGGGGGGAAAGTCCTCAGCATACCCAGCCCTACTGTCATGCAAGGCAACTACCTCAGCAGAGCACAAGCTACTCAGCCATCAGACTCATGTACCAAATCTGTAAAGTGGGCAGGGGAAGAATTAGTTGGAAGATATTTCATTCCTCACTTGTATTCCTATTTGTTCAGTACTTGGGATGGGAAGGGCTAGAGCACATATGTGTTGTGTAGCTGCTCCAAAGCATAACAGCTGAGTTAATCCAGCACTAATGGGAGAGGCAGCAGGTCCCAGGGATCTCCATTTTCCTTCCTCCTCAGGACAAGACGGTTGGCATGGGAAAGGGCAGGGCCTGCAGCCTTCTCTGGATACAGTGCACTGGAGATATCTGGTACCTGAAGGTGACAACAATGAGGGACAGCCATGAGCTCTTGAGCCTTCTCCTCCTCCCCTACCCCTGCACATCCTGGCTTGATGGTGACAGATGAGGACAAAGCCTGCAGCCCGTCTCAGCACAATGAAGGCCTTCAGCACCTTGACAAGGATGGCATGAGATCTCAGGCTGCGCTACCTCTTTGGAGTGAAACAGATGATGGGAAAAGCTGGGAACTTCAGCTCTCCTGCCCTAGTGCAGTTCTATGAAGGCTTCCAGCTCCTCGGGGATGAAACCCTTGTAGGGAATCTTGTGCTTGTCCAGAGCACGAGCAGCAAGGCACTGGAGGGTGATGTAATTGAAGGGCTGCATCATGCTCTTGGTGAGCAGCTTCTCATCCAGCAGCTCATATGCAGTCTGCTTGAAGGCATTGGTGGCATCCATGTGGGCTCCAGCCTCCATCAGGGCACTCATGATCAGCGGGCAGTTGTTCCGGGCAGCAACATGCAGCGGGGTGTTGTTGTCATAGTCACGACTGTCTGGGTCAGCCCCACACTCCAGCAGCAAGTTCACTACGTGGAGCGATGGGAATTTGCCCACTGGGTAACGTCCCACTGTCGTGGTATCCTTGTCCACAGCCATATGCAAAGGAGTGAAGCCATTCTTGGCCCTGGGGCTGCACTTTAGCAGGCGATAGATAGTCTGACGCTTCTGGTGTTCCTGCTCTGGCGTGCACTCCACCTTCTCCAGCAAGAAGACCAGGTGGAGGATAATGGCCAGCGTCTTGGTGAACTGTGCTGAGTCAACTACAGGGTCCTTGCCATGCACTAGTGCCCTCTCCACCTCCCGGACCCCTTTGCTCAGTACTCCCATGAGGTCAGAGAAGCCCAAGTGGGTTGCTAAAGTGCCTTTGGAGCGGTCCTGAAGCACGTAAGAGAAAAGCTCAGCAAAGGAAAGGAAGCTACTGGCAGTCATAGGGCTGAGAGGCTCCAAGTTGCCTTGTTGCATGTCCAGAGCATACTTCCACAGGTTAATGCAGCGTTCAAAGTTGCCAGAATCAGCATAGACTGCCCCTCGGTAACGGATGTAATAGGAAGTATCGGGGTGAGAAGGACCCAAGATGCGCTCTCTGATCAGCAGTGCCTGCATGCGCATCTCATCCGGATCAGTAATCAAGGCTTCCAGTTCCTCCAGCGAGCTCACTTCCCGCGAGTAGTCATATGCCAACACGAGCTGCCGGGGCTCAGGTTTAGGCAGGTACTGCCCACCCTCATACCGAAGCTCCATCGCCCTTCGCCAGTACTTGTGCGCTCCCAAAAGGTCACGTTTCTTATCCACAAACGTGGCACCCAGTAACTCCAGTGCTTCCACAGCCGCTTCTCGAGTGCAGAACACGTTAGGGACCTGCTGTTCCTCCTGACTGGAAGCTGAAGCACAACATCTCTCATGCTTCTCTTCAGCACAGCACTGAGGCGATTCCTGGCCAGCACTGCAGCACCTCTGATGGCCCCCGCCTGATGCACAAGTCCCATTCTGATTCCCTGCAACTTCCTCTTCCTCCTGCTGCAGCCCACCCTGGATGAGGTACTCTACAATGTTGGTGTGACCGGTGACGCTGGCAGCTAGCAGAGGAGTCATGCCATAGCCATCCTTCTCCATGCGGGCTTTGGAGCGGAGCAGTAGCTGCAGGATCTCCAGGCTGCCAGACTCGGCACAGTCATGCAGGGCAGTATTCCCCTTCACGCTCCGGCGGTTGACATCGGCCCCTTTCTCTAGCAAGTAACGCGCAATTTCCCGGTGTCCTTTGTAGCAAGAGATCATCAAACAAGTGTGTCCATGCCGGTTGGCTACTTCCAGGTCAGCGCCACGCTCCCCTACTAAGTAGCGCACAATCTCCAGGTGCCCGTCAAAGCAAGCAGCCCGCAGCGGCGTGGAGTTGGTCAGCGTGGTCTGGTTCACCGACGCGCCGTGATCCAGCAGGCTACGCACCACCCCTAGGTGCCCAGCAGCAGAAGCCGCCCAGAGCGGCGGGGGCCCCTCCATGGGCTCCCCCCCCGAGATGAGGGG